GAAAGAAAGCTGTCTGCTTTAACCTTCCCTTACCTCTGATCACACCCTTATTTACTATATTAAATCACAAAGCTCTGCCACAAATCAAAAGGTGAGGAAAATTATGTCTGTTGAGGGAATAGTTTCCCCTTATGCAAAGCAGACTAACAGATTTTCTTTTTTCAATAAGAAATTTTTATTTGGGTTTGGCTCTGAAGACACTTCGCTATAATCTTGACTTCATTACCCAGGTCCCCTCACTTCCCAATCTTCCTTGGCTCATATTTTGGTGAATTTTGTTAATAGATGTCAAGTCACCAAATAAATTTGGTTGACCATGTTAGAATCAGAGTTGTGCAGTGGAAGCTTTCTTTTTTTAAAAGTAAATTATAAAGACAGTTGGAATGCCTGTATATCCTCATCAGATTTTCTTTCCTTATCATACCTGTTAGTGATGGTGTTAAGACTATTCTAATATCTGCTCTCTATTTGCATTAGGCCCTTTTAAATGATTTTCAAAAGTTAAATACAATAAATGTTACGCTTACTTTTTCTAAAGGGCATAAGTGAAACTCTGCTGGCAAAGTGAAACATCTTTCAAAGCATATTAACAACCTCAGAGGCTATCACATGAGGTCTTTTGTCAATGTGTGGATTTCTATCCCACAACTTCTTTTAGTTTGCATAGTTTTTTATCAGGTCTTTGATCATTTTTCAGTCTATAATCATACTTAACATGGAAGATGTGCTTCATATTTCAAATTTTTACAATGTAGTTCTTATAAGTTCGAGTATTTCCACGCAAAATTATGTGGCTTCCTGTCTCTACAGTTTATAGATCATAACTATCACCAATAATGCTGTCCTTGATCAAATGACACTACATTTTCCCTGAGTTCCTTTGTGGCTTTTTGGTTACCTAGAGCAATGTAACTGACTTCTCGGGCAATCCTAAATGTAGCAGAGTTACTGCTGTCGGTACCACATGAACAAGGAAATGTTATATCCAATAACTGTTGTTTATTGAGCACTTACTATGTGCCAGGTGCTCTGCCAAGGGCTGAACACATGAGCCTCCATTATATATTGACTCCTATCCTCCAAGGGACATATTATTAGCATTCCTACTCTGCAAATGAGGACTCTGAGGTGAAGCCCATCTGAAGTTACACATTGTATATGTTTGTCAGAAACCAGAGCACCTGGGCAGTGATCCTTCTCTAATTCTGGCTGTTATCCTTTCTGGGATTTAAAAGTAATTTTGATTAGGAAATGATTGTTTTATTACCAATTCAGTGAGAAATGTTCAAAAGGCTTGCCTTGAATCTCTGTCAAGTATGATTTCAGAATTTTCCAGAAGATAGGAAGTGAATAACTTAGAATGTGCATAGTCTTTACTGCAAGACCTTGGAACACGTTAGACACTGCTGGAACTCAGTTAAGAACAGAAGGAAGGAAAGAGGCATGAGGGAAAGGACAAAAGGAAAGACAGGAGAGAAAAAGGAAGGAGAGTCATCAAATCAACACCAGTTGGTCAAATTTTTCATTTGTCTCAACTGCTTGAAGTGGCACTAGAGAGATAACAGCCTAAAATGGTTTAACCACTATAGCAGCCACTCAGAATATTAGATCTTAAAATGTTCCAATGTTGAAAGACAGAGGACTGGTTTTATGTAAGAATCAGAACCTTCTGAAGCCTTTTTTTTCTGGAACATTAAAACAAATGCTAGTAGAATTATCCAAACAGTTTTGTCTGAATGGGACCATATATCCAATTTTTTAATTTTTAAAAAGAATTTTGTTTTTACATATGTAGTTAATCAGTTTTATTCATATATATTAGATATAGAAAATAGATATTGTGGTGTATATTTATATTCTCACTCATTTTATATATGTATATGCATATATATGTGTATCTGTATATATGTATATATATAATGATTAATAGTTATTTTCAGGAATTGGTTCATAAACCTTTTTCCCCATGTCCTATTCAGTGACTGATGTATTTAAAATTGTGTGGAAACAGTTCTTAAATTTTGTCCTTTTGTTGGATTCCAAATAGTTAAAACCTCACCTTTATTGAAAGAAGACATATGAGAAAGCAGTGGTGATTTCTGCAATAGTCCTTCTGTCTTAATTACATTTTTCATTGGAGAGAAATACCTGACACCCAAAGTTAAAGGAGGAAAGGTTTATTTAGCTCACAGTTTGTAGAGATTTCAGTCCATAATTGGCTGGCTTAAAGGCAGGGTAGCATGGCGGACAGGCATTGCAGAGGAGAAACAGCTCATGGTGGGCAGAAGGCAGCAAAGCAACAAGGGACAACCACAGCTCTTTCTGTCCCTTATATCTTATCCAGGCTACTTAGGGTGGGTCACAGCCTTAATCCCAGTGCCCTTGATCCTAGCATTGCACCACAAATCAATTCCAGTGTCACACACTCTAGATCAAGTCTCCTCTGAAAAAGCCCCACCTATGGCCACGTGAGGCTTTGGGAGGACATCTGGACACAAAACACATCACCTTCTGTAGCTGATTGAGGCTTCTGCAAAACAACTTGTGTTCAATTATAGTTCTATAAATGCTCTCTGTGCTTCTTTCATTACATGTAGTATTATTCTTCATTTGGGGAATTGAAGTTCTCATGTAAAAACTAACCTTCATTTTCTAAAATTTATCTTCACAGGTCCAGAAAGGTACTTTCATACCAGAAGTTAACACTAACAATCTTATAAGGAGCAATAAGAATCCACAGCCTAACAATGATTTATTAAAATATGGTACACACAATTAACTTTCATTGACCAATTAATTTAATGCCAAATTTAGCACAAAGTATAGAAAAATATTTATGAATTAGTTGTATTTTAATTGGTTTTTCTGTGCCAGTTACTTCATTCTTGGTTCATTCTCCCTTTCTCATATAAAGATGAGTGTTTGAGAAGAGCAAATTATCTTCCATCAAATCTAAGTAAAATTTGGAAGCTAAATTACCCACTCAAAGAAATAAATTTATTCTAAAGGAAAATAGAAATAATTTTTCAACTCTTCAGTCTATTTACATTTTCCATTAGAGTTGGAATCAGGAGTTAGCCATATTGAGTATATAATCTTACGTTTGTTTACCACATCTCAAGGATTTTTGACTATGTAAAAGTACGCTACCATTTACCTGATAGATTATTATACACTGGGCCGGGATTTAGCTTAGTGACTCCACCGCCTGCCTCACAAAGCGCAAGGTCCCAAGTTCAATCCCCAGTAACCCCCCCCAAAAAAAATTCCTAGATGATTATGCATCCACAGAAACTTATGCTTAGAAAGCTTTCATAACAAGAGTTTACAAACAAGGATGTTTCTTGTATTTACATTAATGCAAAATAAATAGGGTAAAAATTGCATATGCAACAGGATTACAACTGTGTAAAAGAAAAACTAACAGTGATCCTTTTGGGTGACAAAGTTATGAATATTTTTTCTCCTGTTTCTATATTCCTCAGATTTTATAATAACAATTGTGCATATATTTTTCAGGGCATTAAAAAGTTTCATTTAAAATGAATAGCATGAGTTTGAGTCATATTTTCAAGTGATGTGTAAAGCACTCTTCCACTTTGCTGGAGTGGAGTCTGTGCCAATAAGAAGGCTGATCCCTCAAAGGTAGATGCACCAATGAGGGTGATCTCCATGGGAAGAGACCAGAAGAGGGAGGATGATTAAAACAAATAACCAGCTTGCCTCGACTGAGGGAGCATTATTTTATTTCTGCACAGGGATATGATTAACTGATTCTAATTTAGGCCTCTAAGACCTCTATGGCTAAGTTTTCATAATCATGTTCAGTAACTGGCTCACAAGACTCGTCTTCACATCCTTCCAAATGAAAGTGTATTTTCACCTCCCACATCAGTACCACAGTGCTGACTGAACTCCTTCACTGTGCCTTTTATTTTTTGGACAGTAGCTAGGAGAAAATACAGGCTGAACAAACATGTTACTGATTGTGATTCTCAAATTGAGCTTAATTTTCTTCATCATTCAAACGAAAGTAACAATATATATTTTCTAAGGTAGCCTAGAAAAGTGGCTTGTGTAAGTCAGTCATGCTCACCCTCACGGTTTCAAGAAAATATTATGGTAAGCAAACATGCATGTGTGCGTATGTGTGTGTATTTATGTCCCACATTATAGTTTTGTACACACATATGCATTTGCGTATATGTAAGAAAATATTCTGTTGGCTTCAAGGCTCTGTGTGCAGGTTCACCCGGGGGCCGTTGCTAGTCACACATGTCAGAAGACCACGTGTGTCACATGGCACGGGAGGATGCTGAGGGAGGAGAGGTATCACCTGGGGTTGACCAGACACCCGCACTGACCAGGCCACTTTCCACATATCTCAAGGCACCATGATTTTCACACACTTAGCTTACGGGAACTGCATTCCATTGCCTGGTTTCAACTAAAGCAAAACTCACAAGATGAACAAAGAGCTCAGAGAGATCCCTGCAGTGAAACTACACTACTAAGTTAATAACACGATACCAGCAAACCAGGAAATGGCCAAGCTGACCCTTCTTTTCCCCTAGGAACAGCTCATCTGTAGCCACATGGCCCTAAGGAAAGTGACAATGTTTAAGCTTTGCGTCCAGAATAACAAGCATGAAAACAAAGTGAACTTAGAGCCAGACCTTATCACAAACACATTTAACAAAACATGAAGCAAATTTCAATTATATCGTTCTCACTTAAATATCATTAATTATATTGCTGAGAGCATAATATTACGATAAACGATTATACTTAATTATTTAAAATATTGTTTTATATGCATAGGATTCTTTCAAAATCCCTATTTTATGTACATTTCATAAAGTGTTCAATACAGATGGGTGAAAAATACGCCTGCAATGACTCCGTACGCATATTTTGGGGTATGTGGGATCACATTACGGGGACTGCCACGGAAACGGAGGCAGCTGCCGTTGGGAGCTAAGATGTCTGTTAAAACTCACTTCAGTGTTTGCTGAGTCTTCGCCGACGCTCCCATTCTCAGGGGATGTTTCTGTTACACCGGAGGGCCCCAGAGGAGTCGCCCAGCCATCCACCGGTGGGCAGCCCCGCTTTCTCCCATAGGAGAGCACAGAAGGCGCAGCAGCAGCTGGATGGGCTGGAGGCTGCGTGATTCCTCACCTCTGCTCCCCTTAACTTCCTCAGAGAAACGCATGCATCTCATTTTCGGTGTCCATAGTGACAGATAGTGTGAACTCCAAATGGAACGTAGCCATGCCTACACAGACTGTCTAGGTGTCTGAAATCAAATTTAGATTTTGTAAATGAAAACATTTCAATATATGTGGCACTCTGAGCAAAATTTGTTCCCTCGGGATGAATTAAAAATGGTAGTCCCTGATCCTGCATTTTCTCAGTTTTGAGTAAGAAAATTATTTAAAAGACAAGCAATGGCAGTTTTGCCCTCCGGTGTCAGATGCTTAGTTTCAACAAGGAATAGAAAGTTTGCAATCTACGTTTGACAAAAGGTTTTCCCTTGCCTTGTCCTAAGGCCCTCTCGCTGTAAGTGCTCTTACGCTGAAGGGAAGCTAGCTCACAGCTAGAGGATCACAAGAGCTGCATTTCAATTCAGTTCCTGAAATGTTATCTCATTTGAATATTTTTCTATTTGACAGGCATTCAAATTTGTAACCTGTTAACAAAATCAGCAAGCCTGTTCTTTCCTATTGCTTCCCTATTTTCCCCAACACTATGTACATTTAACATTAATAAGCAAGCAAACAAAAGGAAAATACCAACTTGGGAAATAATTTTGATTTTTCCTCTTGTTCTTGAGGGATAGAGTTATAGACAGGAGTGCAGGGAACTGGGTGAAGTTTCCTTCGTCTTTTCATGTTTTTGGCCTTCCCTGGACTCTACTCGGGGTCCCCTGGAAGGCTAAAGAGAGGCAATTCTTTGGCCCGCATATAGTTGGCTCATTCACAGTCCACACGCATTCAGCTGTGAGCCAGAAGAGGGAGGCCCTGTCTCCTTGGCGCATTGGAGAAGCCAGCACAACTTGATCAGTAAAATTATCGAAGGTGATATTTAAAACAAACAAGAGAGCTGAGCAGTTGGAACCTAGAACAAAGCAGCAGTGAAACGGAAGGGATTTCTTCGTGCAGGTCCGGGCGGGTGTGTGTTCAAAATCCCAATTCACTCGTTGCCCCTACACCCCGCGTGGTGACAGCAGCCCCTGCAAACACCGGGCAGCCCTGGGACTGAAAGCGGCCCCAGCTACTTTCCCAGTTCTGCTTTCCTAGCCCTGTGAGAACATCCAGCCATTTACGGGAGTGTCACTCAAGCTTATCCTTTTAATAGGAGCCCTTAGAAGCAATGCCAGTTTGTTTTGGGAGACAGTTAATCTGACGGAAGTGAATTCAAGTTTTGGCAAAGATCTGTGGTAAGATAGAGTGAAAAGCTGCCAAATGGTATTATTAGAAGAAGGAAAAAAGGCACGACCTCCCCAAGTCAAATGCCAAGCACACCTACATCAGTTTCAATCAAGCCGTAGAAAAATAAGATATTTTTAGATGTATTCAGCTTTGGCGCTTCTTTGCCCCAAAGGCTGCTTTTATTACTGCAAAAGAGTGCTTGTAATCACTTTTTCATGAGTTTCTTATAATTTCATATGACATGAGTGTTTAGAAAAACCACACTTCAAAACAAGCTTGAATCGTTGTTCTCCCACCACCCCCGTCCCAGATGCCACTTCGTCCCGCTCCTCTGGGTCTCAAGGCCCCGTCCAGACAGACACTGCCCAGGAAGGGCTACACTCTCGGGTCCCAGATGTCCCTCCTGCTTTGAGTTTTCTAGACTCATTATTCTGAATGGGTTATTGTGATACCGCTGACGCCCGCACTGAGATCCAGAGGGAACTGGCGGCATCCTCACGGCACGAACCGGTCTCCATTACTGCCCAGGATGGGACGTGGGTGATGCTTTAAGGTGGCCCTCTTTGAAAGGGGCAAGCTGAGGTTAAAGGTGGTGCAGTGGTCCAAAGTCACACAAGTAGAGCATGGCCTACAGGTCCTCCGGGCTTTTTTGCTTATAGCAGAAAAATAGGAGTAACCAATCTAAGGAACGTCAAGTCCCTCTCTCTTCCTCTGCCACTTCATCCACCGATGGGTCCCAGGAGGCTCTTGTGCAGTCCTATGACTTGGGATCTGTCACTCTCTGGGATACCAAATAGAACGCTGACCTATGCCTCCCTCTCCAGAATCGCCCTGATTCCAGGTGAGGAGGAAAGGAAGCTGCAATAACACTTCCTTCCTCAATGGAGAAAGAGTGGGAGCACTCTTTTTAAATCCCAGCTTACATCTGAATCCACCAAAGGGAGCCGGCATGCTCAAAACAATTCTTCCTGTTTACCAGGAACTGTAGTTTGAACAGCTTGACCCTACTCCTAGTCAGCCATTTTTGTCCTACAGGAGCAGCCATCCCAAATAGTTCCACCTGCACTTCATGGAGCAGCCACCATCTGCTGGGAACTCTGCCAAGTGCCAGCCAGGAAGTCATCCCTTCAATAACCTGGGAAGGCGATGTTTCAGCTCCTGCCATACGGATGAGGGAGTGAGGGCTCAGAAGGGTGATGTGATTTACAAGACAATAAGGTAGAGAGTGAGGACCACAAGTTCTGGCTACTTTGGGCTTGCTCCCTGTTGCTTGTTCTTTCATGGTGGCACCAGGGCATGAAAAGGAGGATGTTCCTTGCTGCTTACTGCTCCCTCTTTCTCCATACAGCCTCCCTTAGTCCTCTCTCCTTCAGGCATTAGGTGCGGGTGGTGTGAAAGGTGCTGGGTGGTTCCCAGGACCCTTCTCTCCACAAGCCTGCACCAGCTGTCAGGCCATCACTGCAAGCATCCTGCCTCCGCTCCATCCCTCTCAAGTGCTTACCTCTTCAGTCCTCTGATCCTAGTTCTTCTAGGATGATGAGCATTTCCCTGCTCCCAGAGAGTCATCTTGCTAAGGCTCCAAATGCTACTCTTCTACCCATCCCTGATCCCTAATCAAGACAGCACTGGGATAAGGTTAGGGTCAGACCCTGTGGACCTGCCAGTCGGGGGTCTGCCTTCAGAAAACAGTATAATTAGACATGAGAGTCCTTAGCCTAGGGTTACTAAAATGAATTTGAGAGTTTAGGTGGCTCATAAAGTTAAACAGAAACAATGACATTCTACTTCTTATTGGTACTTTTATATTTTCTTCCACCTCAACTGGAACAAAACAGCTGGATTCACACTGTCTATGCCTCTTGTAACTGACACAAACTGTAGATATTTTGATAGCCTGTTATGGTTGTTGCCAATATCTTAAAATACTGCTTGCGTTCATCACAACTTTTAAATCATGGCCTGCCACCAACTTTTACCATCTAACCTAGAAACTAAGAAACAATTGTTATCATGTAAGAATCTTGCTATTTAATATTTTTAGTAATTAATTTTTGATATATTTGGGATTTTTTGGTAAGCTATATATTTTATTTTATACAGTTAAAGACATCTTCCTAAGGAAAGGTCCAGGAACTTTGCCAGATGCCCGAAGAAAATTATGGCATACAAATATAATAGTTAAGAATCCCTGGCCCAGTGCCCAAGAAGATAGGCAGCCAAGGTTGCATCTGAATTCAAATCCCACCTCTTACCAGCAGAGCAGCCTGGGCAGCGTTTCCTCGCTTTTCTGAGCCTCACAGGGAGGTTGGGAGGATCAAACGAGATAACGCAGGGCGCTGCGCCCGGCCCAGAGCAAGGGCGCCATGATGCTCACTCTCCCTACCATCAGGCCTCCTCATCCTGGCACCACTCGCCTTCCCCAGTCCTCCATCCCGCGGCATGTGTGTCCAGCCCAGCTCAAGTGACACCTCCTCCGGTCCCCTGTCCTGACAAAGCCACTGGGAGATGCCGTGAACCCTTTTTCCTCCCGGCCCAGTCTCCAGATCAGTCTTTCTGCACTCTTTGCTTAGGCTTTATGGCTTTTTATTTTTATGTGGCCAATTTTTATTGTTATTTTTAAAGGTGTAGATAACAGCAAGAAAAAAATAGCTTTATTTATTTTTATTAGTACCTCTTTGGAGCATGGCCTGTTTATTTAATCCCCTTTCTCTTCCCAGACACCCACCTCCTTCCTCTAAATTTCCTTTCCCCATCTTCACTCTTGTCGATATTACTACTATACTGTTTATATTATGTTATTTCAGTTATTAGGTCCCTATACAGAATGTCCTTATCCTGCTTACTTCCCCATCCCCTACCCTTCTTCCCTCACCTTCGGTCTCCTGGAACCCTTCCCATTTTCAAGAGATCCATCTCCTTGTTTCCTTTTATCCATCCTTTATTTTGCTCTTTGTTTGCACTTTGCCTTGCTCAAATGGGAGACACTGTATGGTATTTAAGCTTGCAGGTCTGATTTATTTCACTCAACGTTGTATTTTTCAGATATATCCATTTTCCTACCAGTCTTCTTTGTACTTCTTTATAGCCAAATAGTATCCCACGATGTATAGATGCCACATTTCCTTTATCCATTCATCTGCTGATGGGCTTGCAGACTGTTTCTAGAAGAACTGTGAAAAAAAAGTAGGTAGTGAAGGAACGTATCTGAGTTGAATAAAATCCATTTTTGACAAACCAGTGGATAATGTCATATTAACACGGGAGAAAATTAAAAAGCCAAATAACTCTTAGAATTAATAACCAACTTCAGCAATGTACCAGGATTAAAACTCCATAGCATTTCTGTACACCAATAATGAATTCAATGACAAGGAAATTAAGAGACCAATAGCATTTAATATAGCATCAAGAAAAAGTAAGTACCTAGGAAGTAACCGTTCTACAGCTTTTTAAGTCTTCTCTTTCCTGCCTAGAAAGCATTCTGTCTAAAGTTATTTTGGCCTGGTGTGGTGTGGAGGTGCATTCCTGTGATCTCAGTACTCAAGAGGCTGAGGCAAAAGGAGTGCCGTGAGTTTGAGGCCAGCCTGGGCTACATAGTGAGCTACATAGCAAGATCCGATATTAATTAATTAATTAATTAAATGTTATTTTGCATAAATAAAGCCTGCTATATCAAAAGTTCCTGCCCAAATATACTAACAATTCATTTTGAAACATTCAAATGAGTGCTCAGTATATTTAGGCAGGAACTT